GGCATCTGGGTCTCAAGCCTGTGTTTCTATGGAGTCTCCTACTCCAGTTGCGGGGGAAGGGCTGCCTCAGTGGGACCTGAGGATGCTTGGCTCTGTCTTGAAGCTTTCTTTCCCTCCTCTTCCTCTGAAAGACATGTTTGACAAGACAAAGTCGGGCCGCATTGATGTCTACGGTTTCTCGGCCCTGTGGAAATTCATCCAGCAGTGGAAGAACCTTTTCCAGCAGTATGACCGGGACCACTCAGGCTCCATTAGCTGCACAGAGCTGCAGCAAGGTGAGGGCTGGGCTACGGACTCAGTGCATGCGCGGAGCCAGACGGTCCTCTTCACTGCTTAAGACAGAGCAAGGCGTTTCTCCTAGCCTCTGACCACCAAATGTCCAGCCGAGCTGGAAATTGCTGCCCTCAACATGGGCCTGCTCCCAACTTCTCTGGGACCTGGCAGGGGCATTAAGCCAAGATCCAGGGCCAGGAAGCACTGGGTCTGGGATCAGAGCTGGCCTCCCTGGCGACGGGACTCCTGGCAGTGCTAGGTGAGATAGGCCCCACGGCAGGGATCCTTGGGGTTGAAACTCAGTAGCCCTGGGCACTTTGATGCCATAAAGTATGGCTTCTGTGGCTCTTTCTAGTTTCTAGCCTCCAGAGTGGAAGGAGCCGTGTAGAGGAGCTCTGAAGGACAGTTTCTGTCACTAGTTCTGCTGGAAGGCAGTTTCCTTTCCCACTCTGGGACCCAGACCTCTCTAAAAGTTATAGTTGGCTTAGGTGACCTGTGGCCATAGCTCCAGGTCCGGTTCTGATTCTGCCTCTAGAGAATGGGTGGTAGTGGGGTAATGAGAACCTGACAGGGAGAGAGGAAGGGCTCTCCTGAGAACCCAGTCCCTTGTCCTGGCCGTGGCTTTCAGGCAGACTGAGGAGCTTGGCAGGTGAGGGTGAGCTCGCCCTGTCTGTGCCCTGGGAGAAGGGAAAGGAGATGACTAATCACCTACTTTTTGGTCAGGTTGTGTCATGGATATTGGGAAGAGTGATATTATCACAACAAAACTATAATAAGCACTATGTTACATCATTCATTCTCCCTGTGTGATAGGTCCTGTTTATTATTCCCCATAGTAGGTGAAGGATCCCTCTTATTGCCCTTTTACAGCTGAGAAAACTGAGGCTTAGTATAGGTAACTTGTCTAAGGGCCACGTAGCAAAAGGGGAGCTGAGATTTAGCCCAAGCTGGTAGATTATGCAGAGAGGCAGGAAGGAAAGAAGCCTCCCAGATGGAGGGGTGGGGGAGCAGGTAGGCTGTGACCTTGGAACTGCTCAGCAGCCTTTCCTGGGGAGATGGTGAATTTATTGTTTTTCATGAATAACACTTATTGGTGTTAATATTAAGTACCAGGCACTGTGCCAAGTGCTTTACACGATCACCTCCTTTTATCCCTGCTAGAACCTTCCTACAAAGTAGGTATTACCTCTATTTTAGAGATGATAAGATAGAGTATTAACAAGGTTAAGCAACTAGCTGAGGGGCTGTCTTGACTCCAAAACAGGCCCTCCAGCCTCTAGGCTGCACCGCCTCTGAGTCCATGCCAGGGAGGGTGGTCCTAGGGCTCTCAGGCTTCCTTACGTAATACAGATGAGTAGAGAGGAACACAGATAGACCCATGTCATTCTGGGACTCCATGGGTTAAAAGGCTAGTATTGGAGATTTGGAGAAAGAGGGATAGGGGCTGTCCAACTTGTGCCTCTGCCATCGTAGACAGACCCTTGGGCCTTCTGTCCCTTCTGCTGTGGTACCCAGAACCACTGTGCTCTGTGGAGCTGGGTGATGGTAGTGCTCATTGCAAGTTTTTGTGTCTGCTCTGTGTGCCTCTCCTCTCCAGCTCTGTCCCAAATGGGCTACAACCTGAGCCCCCAGTTCACCCAGCTCCTGGTCTCCCGCTACTGCCCACGCTCTGCCAATCCCTCCATGCAGCTAGATCGCTTCATCCAGGTGTGCACCCAGCTGCAGGTGCTGACCGAGGCCTTCCGGGAGAAGGACACAGCTGTGCAGGGCAACATTCGGCTCAGCTTCGAGGACTTCGTCACCATGACAGCTTCTCGGATGCTATGACCCAGCCCATCTGTAGAGAGTGGAATGTACCAGGGACCTTTCCTGGCTCCAGAGTAGGAGAAGCATATGGGCCTCTCTTCTGTATCTGTCCCTCCTAGAAAAAGATTCTCCCTTGCCTGATACAGCACTATTCCTGAAGAGAGCTGGGAGTCCTGCGTCAGCCAGCCACAGTGGGGACCTGGGCTGAGGCCACACAGGTAGGGGCCTGACCTAAGAAAGGACTGAAAGTTCAATGTCCTTACAGCCCTGGTCATTTAAATGGCACAGACTTGCACCAGGAGCAGGAGGTAGCAGTCACCGCAGTGGAGTTAGTGTCTAGTCAGCTGGGCTCCAGCCTCTAGCTTTCCCTGCTGGTCCTGATGCCAGTGTAAGTGTTCATCAGCCTCTTACATTAGCACCCATGTTCCCTCACCCATTCTGTCTAGTTTCTCCAAAGTAGAGTCTGAGCAAGCAGGAGAGAGGCTTACCCACAGGACCAGTGGCTTAGATCCCACCACCCCCACACTCACAAGTCCGTGTGTGTTAACTTCTAGCTGCCTGGGGGCTGCACCTGCGCAGGGAGCTTGGACAGTGTTCTCTGGGCAAGTTTGGCCAAGCTACCTCTCTGCAGATTGGACCCCCCACTTGCCCGCCATTCTCGGCCAGGTTTCAGTCTCCAGGGGACAGTTGCCACCTCCCACTGCCAATGCTGTTTTTTTTTTATCTGTGGTTTTTGCATTTGGGGCCAAAAATTCAATGAAACTGTAAGCTTCAATAAAAGAATAAAATGCTGGAGTTCTGCATTTTCCACCACACCTTACCAGCTGGAGGTTCACATGCTCATCATTCGGCCACTTATTCTTTCATTCAGCGAGTAAGTACACACCGTGCAGAGAAGAGCTCCTGGGGCCCCCACAGGGCTGCTCATTTACTGGGGTGAAGAGGAAGCATACGGGCCTGCCAGGTTTAGGGCAGGAAGCTATGTGTTTTATGTCAGTTTTCAGGCTGGCATTCTGGGCTGCAAGCAGCCACCTCAAATTTGCCACATCATGGCCTTTTTTATTATATCAAGCCCTTGTTTTATCTTCCAGACAAACTGCATTTATTGAGTCAAAACTTACCCCCATTTTTATTAAGCACAGACATCTGTACTTGCCAGCCGGGCCTTCAGATCGGCATGATAACTATGTGCGCCAAATGTCAATAGTGATCTGACAAAAAAGCCAAGACACCAGACATTCTGGTTGGCCTGGGGGACCTTATCATGGGTAATGATAAGGTGATAATCCTTGTGCTCTGGGGGATGAAGACAAGAAAGCAGCCTCTCCCTGTAGTGGGTTTGTGGGAAGCAACTCAGTGATGCCCCGCAGATATGTCTGGCCCAGCCAGTTCAGCTCCATTCTCCTGTGGCTGCTCTGGCGCTAGAATCCTGGAATTAGATGGAATCCAGTTTCTAGCGGCCAGTCCCCACCTGGAGATAGAATTCCTCCCATTGCCCCACTGAGTCCAGCCTCTGCTTGCAACTCCCCATGATAACTCAGTGCCATTCCAGGCAGCTCATTGCTTCCTTGACTAGTAGGAACTTCTTCCTGATGGTGGATTCTAAATCCTGCCACCTGAAAATACCACCCACTGGCTATGGTCTTCTCTTGGGCCTCCCAGAACATACACCACACCTTTCTACATGCAGCCTTCTCGATATCTGGAACCTGCCACCATGCTTTCCCCAAGTCCTCCCTTCCCTAGGCTGCACCCTGGGCTCTTCAGCAGCTCTTCACTGAGCACCACTCCTCTTGGCATCCTGGTCGCCTCCCCTGAGTTTTCTCCAGCTTGTGCCCCAAAATGAACGCCTAAGGCCCACTGTGGTACTAGGTTCAACATGCAGAGAGCAGAGTAAAACTGTAGTCATCAGGAAAGCCCCTGTTTTCTTTGCTCCCCTGAAATCCATCTCTAGAACAGTGCCAAGCATAGTCTCAGCCTGGTGTTCACCTGGATCTGAGGAGCCCAGAACCTGGATTGGTCCTTGGGAGCATGGTTGGTTTTGAGCTTGGGGACCAGCCCTCACACCTCATTCTGCGCATTGCATCTCCATGTACTCCAAACTTCAGACAGCTTTGCATCCTAAGGCTAGTGGCAGTCTGGAATGGGCAAGACTGCCCATCCTGCCTGGCAAAAACTGCACATTGGAGAAGTGGGGTGATATAGACCACACTTTCCACCTCTTCAGGTTAAGCGTGGCGGCTAAGAGGAGGGGTGCTTAAACATTCCTGAGCTGGGCCCCTGGCAAGACCATGGTTTTACTCCACTTTTTGATGGGTGAGGTCAGAGAGAGACCCCAGCTTCATTAAGCACAGAGGTGTGCATGGCCAAGCTCGCCTCTGCAGGTTTCCTGCTCCTCTCCCCAGAGCAGACTTCAGACTGCTCCACCTCCTGCTCTGGCAGCAAGGATCAGGGCCGCTGTCAGCCCTCTGATGATCTTAGTGGCAGTGGGGGCATGTCTAGTTAAGTGTGGCTTCCCTTTTTTATCCCACGAGTTCATAGAAAACAAATGTAAGCCCTGATTTCCAGGAAGGTGAAGATTACAATAATTACCCTGTTAGCCCTACTGCCTGCCCACCCTACTGCCCTTTCCTTCCATAGGCCCCTGGGTCCGTGACCAGTGAGGCAAGGACCGAGGTCCTGGGCGTCAGAGGATTGGTGCTGCCTGAGGAGGCAGTGCCGCGTGTGCTCTGAAACCTGGCAAGGAGCCCATGTGGGACCTGGTGCTCGGAGTGAGGGACGGGAGTGGTCGGCAGACACCAGCGTTCCGGTGTTGCCTTGTCCTCTCCCCTCCCCTCCCCCCAGCCTCCCCACCTTCTCACTCCCAACCTAAGCAGCACAGATTTTATGCAATGACAGGGAAAGGGAACATTCAGTGCCAGGCTTTTAATTACAGTTGCTTCAGGCTGCTGGCCTCCTTGCCAGATGGCCACATGGAGAGTGTTCTATTGCACTGCAAAGCCAGTGGGGTCCAGCCTGTGGTGCATGCCCTCGGCACCTGGTGAGGGTGGGGCTGGGCCTAGATTAGCTCACGTGGCCTCGGAGCAGTGGGCCAGGTGCTGCCTGGGCTGTAGGGATCCACTGGGCCAGACGGAAATGCTCGGGACCCTTCCAGCAGACTCCAGGGAGGGCCTGTAATTGGGTAGAAAAGGGGTCTTTGGGAGGAGGAAGGCTAAGCTCTGGAAAGATGATGGGGATGGACGATCCTGGGGTATGGCTGTGTGAGAGGAATACAGCAATAATCCTGTCCTTAACACTTGACAAAGAATTTCCACTTTCTTGACCATGCTTAGTCCTCATATCAGCCCTGCTTAGGGGACACAACTCAGGGGAGAGAAGTGACTTGGCCAGAGTTAACAGGCAGAAAATCAGACTGGAGCCTGGTCTCACACTGCATCCAGCAGTCTTTCCCCAAGGATTGAGGCTGAGTACCCCAGGAGCCAGAGGAGCAGCCCAGGCAGGGAACAGGTTGCACCTCCTGGGGCCACCAGGGCAGCCCTCAGGGCAGCACTGTGGTGACGCTGGTGAGCACCACATGCTCTGAGACTTTGGAGACGGAGCACTGGCTCTTCAAGGACAAGGACTTGTGGCTGGCAGAGGAGCGGGGACTGGGGACCTTCAGAGAGCCGCAGGGACCCAGGCCAGGCAGGCAGCAGGAGAAGGCAGCCTTAAACTGCTCCCGGAATTTGCCTTGGGAGACAGAAGACAGCCATAAGGATATGGATGCAGCAGGAAGGGGCCTCGGGCCCAGGGACACCCACCCAGCTCCAGCTGAGCCGTCTGTGAGTGGGGTGGGAGAGAAGGGAAGAGCTGGGTGGAGAGAGCCCCAAGGCGACCTTGGCAGTGCCAGGGAGAGTGAGCACAGAGGCCCCGGATCAGGCTCCCAAGGAGAGATGCAGTTTTCATCTGATTCCTTGACTGCACTCTGGCTGTGAGCCCGCTTCAAAACGTGGTGTCTGGCTCCGGGGCCTAAGGTCACCTCTGCCCTCCTTGATGCGTAGGGGCAGGGGCTGAGGGCTCCTACAGATGGGGGCTCATCTGTAGCTAGGCTTTCCCCCATCTCTGCCCTATGGTGATGAAAAGGACAGCAGCAGCCCTCACCCTTGCCACCAGGGCACCCCAGCACCCTGGCAGGGTGGAGACCATTATCCTCACTTCACAGATGAGTAGGTGCAGTGGCTTGCCCAAGGTCCCCCAGCCAGAAGTCGAACCTGGTTCTAACTCCAAAGCCCTTCACTTAAAGGAGAGGGCAGAGTGGGGAAGGAGGGACGACTGCAGACTGCAGCCGCCTTGTTCAGGCAAAGGGCACCAGGGAAACATCTGGCTGGAACTAAAGCCTCCCTGGTCATGTTTTGTCATCTCACAAGCCTCTCTGGTGCCCAGGGGGAGCCAGGCACACACACGTGCTCAGTAAACGTAGACCAAACGGGGATGCTTGTCAGGAAGCTGCAGCACTCATGCCTGTCTTCTCTCTGAGCCGGAACCCCCCCTGCCCCCCAGCTAGCCTTTGTTGAGTAATTTTTTAGTCTTAATGAGGGTTATAATATTGACCCCTGGCCGCTTGTTTAACCTTTCAACCTTTTCTCAAAGATTACTTGTTTCTAGGCTTGAACAGTCATCTGGACCAGTTCTTTTAGTCCTAGTCCTAGAGACAGAGGCCTGGTGAGCCACACTTCTGTTGAGCCCAGGTAGGGGCCCAGTGTGTGTGTATGTGTGGGGGTGCGCATTGCCACCCTGAGACTGGGAGATGGAGGGAGGGGATCGGGACTGTCCCACAGTCGAGAGGAGGAGGAGGCCTGGGCCTGGTGGCAGGGACCAGGGACGTTTGGACGTGAGAGGGCTGGTGCTGGAGGTAGGTGGAGTCAGCGATAGCCCCCAAAACTCAGGCTACTCTGCCAATATGTCTAGCTGGCCTTGGGGAAGCCCTTTCTCAGACCTGACTTCTCAGGATCTGGGTTGACCAGATGGGCTGGTTGGAAATCCTGCTGTGCGTGCACCAGGCAGGGGTGGAGGTGAGTTCGCCATTGCCCCTGCCTTTCCCACTCACACACTGGTCTGCATAATCTGCAAAACTGGTTCCTGGGTGCTGGTCAGCTTTCTTTGGCCACTGTTGGGAGCATGGCCTGTCTCCCACTCAGACCCGGGTTCCCGAGTGGGGCCAAGTCTGCCCCCTGAGGGGGAGTTACCAGCTATGTCCTCCCCCACCATCCTTTATTCCGTCTGGACTGGAGATGGGGAGACTGTTGTCCTGGGAGACTGTTGCCACCCTCAGTCCCCTGCCTTCCCAGCCCACTCACCACTGAGGAAGTTGTAGATGATGGGGTTGGCCGCGCTGTTAGCATACACCAGCCAGTGGGAGAAGGTGAAGCAGGCATAGACAGCTTCTCGGTCACTGGCCTGGCGGAACATCCCAAACACCCTAGGAGCATGAGTGAGGACAGTCAGAAATGGGGTGGGTGTGTGCATCTATGTGTTTATGTGTTTAGTTGGGCAGGAGTCACTATCTCATCTAATAGATAAAAAACCCAAGGCTCAGAAAAGGAAAGTGAGCTGACCAAGGCCAGACAGCTTATGAATGGCTGTGAAGGGCAAGAATGCCATAGCTCCTTCCATCTACCAGGTTTCTCTTCCCTGGTCCTCTGGGTTTGAGGTCTTGACCACAGTTCTGAGTTTCTGAGCTCAGAGCATGACCAGAGTGGGCCTAGGGACAGAGAGCAGGGTACTTCTGCTCAGCCACTGTCTCTCTGATCCCTTCCCCATCCACTCTCTTACCCATCTTCACAGCAAATGATGAGTCAGGCATCATCCATTTTTAAATAGGCAAGCTAAGGTTCAGGGAAGTAAAGTGACCTGCCCAGATCAGAGAGCAGAAAGTGGCCAAGCACAAACTCACACTGAGATGGTCTCATGTCAGACAGCCCATTCTTCGCCTGCACCCTGTGGCCTCTCACTTGTTGGGCCCTGTGTTCCCTGTGTTCCTTCCGTTTAGACTGCTGTTCCTCCAGACACCTGCGCGGCTTGGCCCCTCCCTCCCTTCTGTCTGCCAAATGTTACTCTCCGAGAAACCTCCCTCTCTTTTAAAAACCTTTAGAGCTAAAAACAAAACAAAACCACCAACCCCTGTCAGTGTCACTCAATCCTGGTATTTTGTTTTTCTTCCTAGCAGTTACCACTCCCTGATTTCTCATAGCTGTTTGTTTCTCTCCCGTGGATGTGGCCTCCATGAAGGCAGGGGCTTTGTCCTGAGCACTTGTGCATGTGTTCCCAGCCCCTCTAATCTGACGACTGAGTGAAGGGATGAAACAATTTTCACAATAGCCCTCTGAGGCCAAGACTGTCATATTCACATTTTACAGATGAGGAGATTGAGGCTCAGGGGTTCAGAGAAGAGAAAAGACCCGCCCCAAGGTCACACCGTGGATGAGTAGTGGAGCCAGGTCTTTCTCCAAAGCAGACTTGCTCTGACCCCACAACCTCTCCTGCCCCCAGCCACTCCCCAGGGCTCTCACCTCTTGAGGACATTGAGGACACTGATGGGCAGGTAGCAGAGGGCAAAGACCAGCAGCACCACCATCAGCATCTTGGCCGTCTTCCTCCGAGCTCTCATCTGCTTTACCTCGGCCAGGAAGGCCCGGGCCCGGGGCTGGGGCTCTGTGCTCGGGCCCTGCCCCTCCTCCGAGGGCCGCTTCCAGTTCCGCACCAGGGCCGCTGTGGTGCCCGGGATCTGTCCACACAGACAGCAGAGGCGGGTGGAGTTCTCGGGAGGGTCTCCTTTGCCGGGCCCCGCTTCAGGCTGGACTCTGAGGCAGGGTGGAGGTGGGCAAAGGGAACAAACCCTCGCAATAGGAAGGAACCTAATGTTCCTGATAAAGACCAGCACTCTCGACTGGCTGGTGAACAGTGGGCTTCCGTTTTCCATTAGCTCATTGTGAGACCACCCACAACATGCCTTTGGGAAGGTGTTACTGGCCTTTAGTTACAGATGAGGCAGCTGAAACTCAGAGAGGCAGGAGACCCTTGATGAGGCCCCAGGGGCCAGAATATCCTCCCAGCTACCCACTCATCCTCAAATCAGCACCTCCATTGGTGGGGGTGGGGTGGAGGTGAGTTGTACCTCCCTCTGGGCTGCGCCTGACGGTGGGGAGACCTACGCAAGGGGTGAGCAGGGGGGCAGCATCCAACGGCCTGGGCCTTTGGGCACAGGTGTCAGCCTAGGTCGGTGCCCATAAGCCTACGATGGTTCCAGGCTTCTGGAGCAGCCACAGGATATCCTTGAGCCTCTGCCACCACTGGACACTTGAGTCACCCCACAACAGGGGGCATGGGGCTAGAGTTCAGGAAACTTGGGGTCTAGGGCCCAGTCAGCCATTTGTGAGCTCTGTGGCCTTGATCAACTCTCTTTTTCTGAGCCTTGGTCTTCCTGTATGTTAGGTGAGGATAGTGACTCCTGCCTTCTTGACTCAGGCTGTGAGGAGCAGATGGCAAGTGTTGGTAGACTGTAAGGCTGGTCATGTTCCAGCCCGCAGCCTCTCACTACCCAGGCACTAACCCAGAGCTCACTCCTGCTGTTGCCAAAGGCCTTTGAACAACCCCCCTGCCCTTGCCAAAAATCCCCACAGAACAGGCTGTTGGCCAGTTTGTAAGAGAGGAGAGAGGGCAGGCCCTGGAACCAGGAAGGCTCTGCCACTCACTGGCTGTGGCCAGTTGGTTGTCCTTACTCAGCATTTGTAAAGTGGGTCGGATTTCTTCTTTGGGTGGATAGTTGTGAAGACATTGCCAGCAAAGTGCCTACTTTGGCAGGCAACATGGAGGTGCTGGGACCCGGGCACTGAACTGAGCATTGGAGGCCCATGGGTCTGGATTTTAGTTCCTGATCTTCCACTCACTGGCTGAGGGATTCGGGGTAACTTGGTTTGCCTCTCTGGGTCTCAGTTTTCTCATGCATTAAGTTGGGGATAATATATGTGGGTCAACGGACTGCAAGCCATGCTTGAAGTGCACATTACAGTAAACGGCAGCTGCTTCTGTGAGAAGGGTGCTAGCTGCCGTCTGGTCCCAGGGCAGGCACTGGCCCTTTTGGCCTGGAGTTTGACATGTGTCTGGGTCTTGCTGCTGCTGTCTGGTCACAGCGAGGATGGCATATTTGAAGACAGAGAACTGTCTGCTCTCTGAAATCAATACTCCTATCCCCTTCAAGCCCAGACAGGGACACCACAGTGGACCTCACCTGACGACCCCAGAGCTTACGGAAGATCTGGAAATAGGCCATGGCCATGAGGCCCAGCGGGGCCAGGTAGGTGACAATGAAGAAGCAACTGTGGTAGATCTTGGGGTAGAGGTCATCTGCAGGGGCAAGAGATGCAGGGGTTGGGCCCCATCTGGGAACTCCCAGCCTACCCTGCTTAGCAATGCCACCCTGCCCCAACTAGGGCCACAACGAGCAGCTGGGCCCCAAACAAGCATCATGGCAGAAAGACCTTGGTGTTGCCCAACTCGGAGGTGACCATCCTGGAGGAACCCGTAGCAGGTGTCTATGCTAGGGGAGGCATCCTCCCTGGAAGTATCCCAGGTAGATGCGTGCTCTTCTGTGTCCATCAAGGGGTTACTCACCCTGGGAGTGCACCTGGTAGCTGCCCACTCTAGGGTGTCCTCTTTGGAGATAACCCACCCTGGGGGTGCCCACCCAGAAGTGCCCTGACAGATGCCTGCCTGAGGGGTATATGCCCCAGAGGTGCCCACTTTGAGGATTCCTGCCCCAAGGCTCCCACCCTTACCAGCCCAGCGTTCATCGCAGACAGAGAAGAGCCGGGTGCGGTTGGCTAGCTCGGGCAGCACACTGTTGCATTCCATGACAGCAGCCTGGGGCACCATGACAGCCAGCGACACAGCCCAGATGCCCAGGATAGAGCCACGGGCACGCCGGGCAGTGCTCTTGAACAACAGCGGGTGGCAGATGGCATACCAGCGGTCCAGGGCGATGAAGCTGAGAGTCAGCACCGCCACTGACACAGACACAGCCTGTTCCACAGGGACACAATGTCAGTCCTCTGGGGGCCTTCAGAGACATCGGGTGAGTGATGGGGCTCGCAGCCAAGTGTAGCGCAACTCCTGACTCCACCACTTGGTAGTGAGATGTGGGCAAATCACTCACACCTGGGGAATGGGAGTATACCACCCACCTGGCAGCATTCTTGTGAGAATAATGAAATCATGGATGGAAAATGTCCAGCTCGAGACCTGGCACATAGTAAGGTGCTGCCCAGCTTACACATATGGAACTTATATGCCAAACACTGTTTCCATTATCCTCACAACAACCACGTGAGATGAGTACTCTCACCCCCATGTTACAGATAAGGAAACAGGCACAGAAAGGTTAACTTGCCGAAGGTGAATTTCCTCACCTGCCTAATTCTCAGGGTTGCCATTACAATCAGTTGGGTGGAAAAACTCAAAACAACAGAAAGTCCCCGAGGCATTTCTCTCTGCCCTGGGATGCCATCCCTTCCCCAGGCTGTTAAGAGTCATTCTGGGAGGCAGAGATGAGCTTAGGCCAGGGGTGTAAGTGGGCACTGCCGCCTGGAGTGCCCCTGACCCCTGGGATGCAGGGAGAGGCTTGGGGGATGCAACTGAGAGACCATTCTGGCCTCTGGCCAGTCCTTCTTCCGCCCCACCAGGCCCTTCTGAACATCCTGATTTCCACCACTGCGGGAGGGAAGGCCCTGGCTTTTGGGGGGGAGTGTGTGGAGTGGAGACCCTACAGTCCCCCCAGATCTGCCCCCCTAAGGATGAGGGTGCAGGCCCAGTGTGCATTTGTGTCTGTCACTGTACACTGGGGGCTTGTGCCTCTCTCCTTCACTGTGTGTCCATGTACCTGGTGCTGACTGTACATGTGTATGCACTTGGTTGTGTATATGTCTTCATGTGCCCAGGAGGGGATCTGTGTGTCAGCAGGTGGGGCCATGGCTGTGTCCTTCAGTGTTGGGGCTGGCGGCCTGCCCCTGCTACCAATGGAGGCTGACACTGCAGAGGTACTGAGTCACCATGTCATGTCTGAAAGACAAGTCTGAGGGGCACTGAGACCTAATGCAAGGCTGTGGTTTTTGTAGTTGGTGTGATGGGGGTGTTGAGCAGCACCTGGCCAGAGCTCACCTGTAGATAGGGGATGACCTTGCAGAGAGCATGCCCGAAGAGCCAGGACTCAGTGATGTCCACCAGAAGGCTGGCTGGCAGGCAGATGGCTGTCACCAGCACATCAGCCAGGGACAGGTTGACGATGAAGTAGTTGGTAACCGTCCTCATGTGGTGGTTCCGCCACACGGCCAGGCAGACTGCAGAGTTGGGTGGGGAAGAGGTGAAGCCAGTGGCAGAGCCATGCCCGTCCCAGCTTGGTCCCATTAGTCCACACTACCCGAAAGGTGGGGGTAGGGACTGGGGAGAGAGGGAGAGAATCAAGGCCCAGGACCCCTTCTTGTCCCCTGGGGAAATCCACACCACCACAGGGACCTACCCAGCGTGTTGCCCACCAGGGCCACGAGGAACACAGCCACATAGGCTGCAATGAGGACCCACTCGTACTGCTTCGGGTACAGATAATCACGCCACAGATAACGGAGAAACTCATCTTCATAGTCAGGAGGCACATGGGATGGCTCCCCACTGGCAGTGGGGACCCCAGTCTGGGCCTTTGGGGTGGCTGGGGGCTCCATGAGCTCAGGAGCCACTGCAGTTGAGGGGCATCCTGGGCTCTGTGGAGGGAGAGGAGCCCCTGCCAGGCTTCAGCTCAATTCCCTTGCACACAGGTCTTTGGGGTCCCAGCCTCAAACCTCCTGAAGGAAGTGGGGAAGGAAGGAAGAATGTGAACATTAGGGAGTATGCCAGGCAATCTGCAGATAAGCTCCCTCTTAATTTATACAGACCTGGGGGTTATAGTGAGCCTGAAATTGGTGGAGAAAGACAGACGTGGCCAGCATCCCAATTCCATACAATTTGCTCTTGGGTAAATTACCTTATCACTTTCAGCCTCAGTTTCGTCATCTCTCCATTGGAGTAAACTGTCCCTACCTCTTAGAGCTGCAGTGAGGAGCAATGTGTAAATGCCAAATGCTTACACAGAAACTGACATGGGAAGCGGGCTTCATTGCAGTTGTTGGTTACCATTATTTGAGAACCCTGCTTTGCTCAGAGAGGTTGAGCTCCTTGGTCAAGGTCACAAAGCTACCTGGCTCGGTCTGTCTGAATCCACCGAACACCACGGATTTGAGAGGGGAAGCCATCCCAACTGCAAATGGTCTCTCCTGGGTCAGTTCACAAGCCTGAATTTTTGGTTGAAAAAATGGCCAAGGGAGGCGGTTAGAGTCCCAGGCCCCGCCCACCACACCGGCGGCCAGGACTGAGACACACACACACACGCACGCACGCACACACCGTGAGGGGGCGGGGGGTGCAGGGAGGAACTGGCACGTCTCTGGGAGCAAGGGGAGAGTCCTCAACTCAGGAGCCAGGCCCCTCAGCTTCCGCAGCCAGTGCCCCCTTGAATCCCCGGGGCCGCGATACCTCCCGGCAGCCGCCAGGGGTCGCTGGGCAGGCGCACAGGCAGCTTTCTCCATTCATAAATCGGGCCTCCCTCCCCACCCCTCCTCGTTTGCTCATACCCCTCCTTCCCCCGGTTGGGCAGGGACCACCCTGGACGTGTACACATGGGTTGCCGGTGCCTGGAGACCCCTGAGGGAGGGTGAGGGGGCTCCTTCACATCCCCGATGCGTGCCGGTGGACCCGCTCCCTTAGTGAGACCTCCCTGCACATGAGGGGTTATGGGTGCTGCGGGGTGGGGGGGAAGGGAGGAACGAGGGTGCTAGGGGTTCTGCAGGAGCCAGCCTCCCGGCACCCAGGTTATCCTCCGAGACTCTTGGCTCTGCCGAGGGTCCTTTGGAACCCCCACCCCGGGCCTGGGGGGTCCCCCAACCCCGCACCTGTTGGCTCCCGGACCCTGGCGTCCTTGGCTGCTGGTCCCTGGACCCTGCACCTGGGACTTCGCCTCCCTGCTCTGAAGGCCAGGCTCCGGGGGCCCGGGCTGCGGGAGGGAGCCGGGGCAGCCCCCTCCCAGGGCTGCGCTGCCTCTGCTCGTTCGTCTGAGCCAAGTCCCGGCTCCGACGCTGGCTGTGGCTCCGCTGGGCTGCGCGCCGCGGGGAGGGCGGGAGGGGCGGAGCGGGGAGGGGAGCCCCCAGCCGGCCTCGGCTTCAGGTCTCGCAGCCCGAGCCCGGGAAGGCGGAGGGAGATGCTGGTTCCTCCTTGCCGCCTACTTCAAGCTTCCATCCCACCTCCATTCATGCGTCCATCCGTCCATTCATACCACTTGCATTCATTCAACATTCATGCCGCTGGCCACTCAGCGTTGAGAGCGCACCTACTGTGTGCAGGAGGGCCCTAGGCAGCTTCGGAGAGCTACAGTGCAGGGGGGGATCCCAGCTCCACCTCTCCTCGCTGCCTCACCTAGCTGATGAAGATGACGGCACAGGTGGGTGACTGGGGTGAGAGCGTGTCTGCGCTGCCTCCAGCCAAACTCCCATTGCTGCTGGAGCAGCCACCTCCCAGCGATGGCCAGAAAGCCCTGCTTGCCTGTCTCCCAGCCCTGGATTCTGTCTGCCTCCAAATACTTTTTGTTCATACCTACTTTCTCCCTCCCAAGACAGAGATGGTAGGTGAGGGCAGGAAGGAGGTATCAGATGGGGCTGATTAAGTCAACAAATATTTACAAAGCTGTGTGCCAGGCAATAAGCTAGAGTATTATAGCTGCCCTTTGTATAGTCCTTGCCATGCATAATCTCATTTAATCTTCAAACCAATCGGGGAGGTAGTTGTTATCACCCCCATGTTACAGATGAGGACTCTCGTTCAGTGATTTGCTCAAGACCACACAGCAGAGGCAGAGTTGAGACTCAAGCCTGTGACCTCCTCCAGGTTTACTGGCCTTCTTGCCAGACAGAGGCCCCCTGCCCTCCGCATGTGCCCAGGCTGGCCGCAGGCAGGATAGGCTCACAGCCAGACAAGTCCTCTTTGCTGTGAGGGGCCCGGAGGTCTGTAGGGCACAGAAGGACAGATTGATTCAGTCAGGACATCAGGACAGGCTTCCTGGAGCAGGGCCATGGAGACCTGAAGAACAAGAATGCGGCCAGGACTCACAGGTAGCCAGGCAGTCACCTTGGCTGTACCCTGCCTCAGGACAGGACTTACCTAACATATCAGATCCTACCCTCCTCTGTCACTCCTGGAGACTCATACTCCTTCCCTCCTTGGTGTTTGTGTCCTGATATGTAACCTCCGTCTTCTCTGGTGCAGCCAAAGCCTGTTTTCAAAGGTGCTGGAGCTGCACCGTTAGACAGACAGTGTGGAGGGGGCCTGGGGCAGCAGCTCAGGGGACAGGTCAGAGACCTTCATTTCTCCAGAACTGGAGGGAGGCCTGAAGCTAACCCTAGGGCACTGGCACAGTAGGTGATGAGTCATGGCAGTCAGAGCGCCCCTGTAGTCCCAGTGCTGCCCTGCCTGCCCGAGGTGCTGGCAGCTGTAGGCGGATGGATGAAGGGACTCGAGAGAGGAGTGCTGGCATGTGCGCATGTGTGTGTGCACGTTTGTGTGTGTGTGTGCTTAAGTACCTGTGTTTAGAAGTAAGAGGTGTGTGTCAGGGGAGTCCAGTGTGTAACTGTGGGTGTTTGTGTCTCTGTGCATGTGAGTAGGGGACTGGCTCTGGGGGTCACCCTGGGTGGGATGTGTCGGTATGGGAGGTAAATTGTGTGCCTTGGTGTTTGTGTCTATGAGGAATGCATGTGCACATATGTGTATGTGTGGCGTGGGTGTTTGTCTCTGAACGTACAGTTGGCTTTGACTAGCACTAGCCTCTGGGTGTGCTCGCCTGTGAGTGTGGGAATGTGGGTGCAGGCACGTCTTTGCGGCCATGGCTCTGTGAGTGTGCATATGTGGAACTCGGTGTGTCTGCCCCCACAGTGATGACTCATCTAATCCCCCACATTCGCCCCCCCGCATCTAGAGCTGGGACTGTTTGCTAGGTGCGGGCTGGAGAGGGGGCTGCAGCACACAGGGGATGGGAGGTGGACCATGCGGGAACTCTCAAAGGACAGCTGCAGCAAACAAGGTGCAGCCAGTTGTTCCAAAGTCACAGATGCGCGTGTGGGGGGACGGGGGAGGGGGGCGGTGGACACCAGCTGAGCCCAGCACAGCCCAGGCTTAGAACCCAGCCCAGAGCTCAGAATGCCATAATTCAGATCCTTCTAGATACCCTGGGTTGGAGTGAGCAATGTGGTTTCCGGGTCCCCCAAAATCATTGTATTTGGCAGTGCATGTGTGTGGGGAAGGAGTCACCGCTGAGAATCCACACCCACAAGGTCCACTTTCACAGAGCCAGTGCCATGTCCCCCTAAGAGGGATCCCAGCTGCCAAACCTCTTCATCCTTTGGTACCCCAGAGATGGCTGCTTCTCAGGACAAGGGGTCCGGAGTGGTTCTTTCCGCCCTGAGGCATCTTTCTTCCTGGCCTATCAGGCCCGGGCCAGGCAGGAAGCTCAGGGCTGAAAGGTCTCTCTGGCTCTGAGTCCGGCTCCCTCAGCCATGGCCTGACAGTGGGAGAAGCCAGTTATTTGGTCTGGGTGGGCATGAGGTCCCCAACTGTGCGCTCAGAGAAAACCCTGGGTTCCCAAGAGGGGCCAGTGATGCTCTGGAAGACCTGCAAGGAACTGTGGTGGCTTGGTCCTCGAGCCCAACAGCATTGGCTTCTGGCAGCTCCTGGCAAACGGCCAGTGCCCAGGGGAGGGGCTCAGGAACCTCATGTCCTCCATCTCAGGGCCGGGCACTTAGCCCTGGCGCTTCCTCCACCGAGGAGGGCCAGCCTGAAGCCTTTGCTTTGCCCAAACTGTCTGTCAACTGGTGACCACATGACCTCTTTCCTGGAACCAGCCAGCTCCAGCCTTGTTGATCTAATCCTGAGCCTCTGAGCCACAGGTCCCTGTCACATCCATCTTCAAGTGTCAGGCTGGACACTGGCCCCAGGTACTACCTCCCCCTCCCTCCCAATTCCAGTGTGACTGGCAGTAAGCTCTTGTCTGATTAGGACTAGAGTAATTGAAACGTAATTGGGTTTTCAGCTGGCTAATGCTGCCACAGGTCTGGGATGTGCACGGGGACGCTCTGTGCAGGGCAGAGGTGTGTTTAGAAGAACAGAAATCAGAAAACAAGGAGAAGGCATGCAGAGGGGTGCGAGGAGGGTCAGCAGTGGCTGGGCCACAGGCCCAGGAAAAGGGAATTCTGAGGACTGCATCTGGGCAGGCATTTTGGTCCTTGGGCCCAATGGTGGTGGACTTTGGGAGCTCCTGGCAAAGTGCCAGTGCCCAGGGAAGGGCCCAGGGACCTCATGTCCTCCATCTCTGACTGGGTGCTCAGCCTTTGTGCCTCGTCTCCTCAGGAAGGACTGGCCCTCCTTCACGGTTTCAGTGGCTTAAAGGAGACCGACATCCACTAGGAGAGCAAGGGGTCCAGGGCCCAGAGTCAGGCATTCTTGGTGACGTCTCACACTACAGATCATCTTCAAGCCAGGGGCAGGACAACGGGGAAGAGGCTGGCGACAGCTGTCTTCTGTCTGTTCACTCACTCACACGCTCACTCAACAAACACAGATGGCAGGTAGGCTGCACAGATAGGAGTCCTGCTGGTTAGGCTGGGGAGACCCCCTTGTAGATAAAAGTATGGGGGTGGGTATCAAATACATTATGGCAGGGGCCTGTGGAATCAGGGTGGGGGCTGGATGGGACCAGGGCCAACAGTGATAGTGTATGTGAACTCGAAGGAAACACACACACACAGTTAAGTCTAGTGTTGAAAGGAGGGCAGGAGCATAGGCTTTGGGACTAGAAAGACCTGGCTTAGACTCCTGGCTCTGCCACTCACTCCTGTGTTACCTTGTACTAGTCACTCCACCTCTGATAAGCTGGGTAATGGTCCGCAAGGATGTCCATGTCCCAATCCCCAGAACCCGGGACTATGTCACATGGCACATTTACAGATGCGCCCAAATCAAGGATCCTGAGATGGGGGAGATTGTTCTGGATTATCCAGGTGGGCTCAGTGTAATCACAAGGGTTGTTATGAGGAGGCAGCAGGGTCACTGAGAGGTGCAATGACTTGGCAGAGGGTGGAGTGATGGCCATGCTGGAGGGGCACATGAGCCGGGGGCGAGGGCGGCCTCTAGCAGCTGGGAAGGGTGAGGAACAGAGTCCAGCCACAGCCACCCAAGGCTCCAGGAGGGACACAGCCCTGCCAATTCCTAGATTTTAGCCCCATTAGACTCATTCTGGATAGTAGCCTCCAGAAAAGTAATAGAAAAACTTGTGTGTTGTTTTAAGCCGCTGAAGTTGTGGTAGTCTGGCAGCCAAAGGAAACTGCTACAGCCTCCCTGCCTCATTTCCCTGGTTGTAAGATGAGGCCGGCGGGAGCCTTTGCCGTATAGAGCTGTCTGAGGATACACTGCCAGCAGCTAGCATGAACGGGGCAGTGGCAAGACACAGAGACTCACACATTCGTACACATGACATTTTTGAATAGTTTAATATTTTAAAAAATCAGAGTGGTCATCCTGGGAAGAACCAGGATTTTGGCAGACATCCTATACTTGTCTTTTGGTATTGTTTTTATTTTAAGTCATGTATTGGTGCTGCATGATGCTAATGATGTCAATCCTAAAGTTATAAATAATATTAGCAACAAGCAATGATCATGGTAAATATGTGCTGGTGTGGTTATCTCAACACAAGAGCACACAAGGGGAAGGAGAAGAAGGAAAAGCCTGATCTTCCTGGGAGGTGTGTGTGTGTGTGTGTGTGTGTGTGTGTGTGTGTGTGTGTGTAGACTGGGGTTCCTAAAAGTATGACCTGGTATAATAGGACAGAAAAAGACCAAGATAAACAAACAAACAAAAAACTTCCAGAGGCAAGTTGGGCAGGGTCCTGAGGGATGAACAGGAGTTCACGTATGAGCTTTGACTGAGACATGCCGGTAGGAGCGGGAGAGGAAGAAGGGGTGGGATTCCTGGGAAAAGGGGACAGCATGAGCAAAGGTGAGGGGTGTGGGCATGGCCAAATATCTGTTCTGGGTCCTCAGTAAATGCTTATCTTTTA